TCGGATAAACGTAGGTGCAGTTTGCCAGAATTTATAAATTGTGGTCCAAATTACGCCATGTTGGCATGTGCTTTGCTATACTGTCCTCTGCCTGACAACCTTACTTGATTTGAAATTTTCCAGCGTGTCTACTAGCATTACACTCCATTTGAAATGATCGGATTAATCTGAACATCAGCGCACTGTCCAGCTGTAACTGCGCAAGCTCAACTATGGACGACGTATGATTGTACCATGGAGTATCTGGCCACCCATCTTATCAAAATTGGGCACTTGAGTCACCTCTGCTCCACAACGTCATGGCACGCAGTCAAGTTTCGAAAAGCACTGCTACAGTACAAAGGATGCACCCGATGCTGAACATAAAACCAAATTTGAACTTAATTCTTCAGGAAGAGTAATCGGCCTGCATCCCCTGATTTGGTAATTGACAAAATGCAAATTTAGGGTAAATTCAGAGATAAAAGTACATAGGCACAAGAGGCTTTCATTTCTCAATACAATTAATGAAGGCGTTATTTCCAAACATTTGTCAATGGAATGTTTCGGTTGTTTGCTGAATCCACAGTTTTTGTGGGAATTTTTTTGGTGAATATTGTTTGCTAACAGCTAAACTGATATTTGTGTTGTCAAGTTCTTAGAGTAGAAAAGAATAGATGTATTTAGGAAACCCCCTGCGAAATACCCTTTTATAGTTAGATTTAATGAATTTGTCACTTTGGTCACGGATATTGATTAATGTAGCAACGCATCTGTGCTAATCAAGCCTATTCACAATGTCACATAATTTGTGTGCACCATTATAAAATAATAAGAAATTATATATTTGATATTTAACTAGTTTCGACCGTATGACGGAGCTGAATGAGCCTATCAGCGTTAGCTTGAAAATATCAAAATCTTTTATTTTTACTTTGGCTTTCTGAACTTATCGATTAATTCTATTTGGCTTGAATACAAACTAATTCTTGTTAAGCCCCTAAAGAGTTGGCGAGAATGCCTGAAGCATCATGGTCCTCAGTGCAAGAGAACAAGGCACAAGGAGAATGGGTGCGGACTACGTACAAACCTTTACTTGAGAACAAAATTCACTGCAGTGCCCTTATGCCCAGGTTGGAAAGAGAGACCTTTCTTTGTCAAATTGCTAACTTTGATTAGAGGTGGATGCCGATCTCCAGTACACATTCCGGAAAGGAAACGATGGTCAGCATCTGGACGAGCACTCTGTCTACAGCGAAAGCTTGAATTCACCCTAAAAAACTGCTGTTGTCAAGGTGGTGAGGTTTCGCAGACAGTTTCCACCACGATGTTTAGAATTTCGACGAACCCGGAACTACGGCATATCAAATTGTTGTACCCTCATCGACTAAACATAGCTCCGCTGCCAGAGTTGGTTAGTTAAATGGTGGTACAATTAATAAGGTGATGGAGGATTTGGGATCGAACGTCCTGCATCACCCACCGTAGCTCATGGATGATGCTCCATTGGAATGCCACCTCTTCAGACCATTGGGGAAGTTCTTTGTGGAAGACCTACCAAGCGTGAAAATTATCAAAACTGGTCGTGACGAATAACTTACCTTGATACCACCCTATTATTACAAGAAGGGGAATTAAATTGAGTGGGGAAGTGAAAGAAGATTACCAATCGTGACTAAGATCATCATCGCCATCAAATCCATGGATAGATGCAATGTTGGTCTAACTTGAGTGTGTAAATTTGAGGCGCAACAAAAAGATTAATCCTCTTACATATTGCTAAATAAATTGATCTTCTGAAAATGACAGAAGTCAAGCCTTCTCAAAATTGTGGTTTAGAAATAGCAAAAATTGTGTTGACCACATTCCTTGCATCTTTGAGCTTCAGTTGCATAATACTCAGAGCAGTTAAACATTTACCAGTCAATAAAAAGGAAAATTTGACCGCCGATACTGAGAGTTAAGTGAGTAGAAATGTAGCAACCCAAAATAACCTGGCAACTTTAATAAACATTGAAGCCTAATTTATGCCCGTAGTGAAATAACCACATTAGATGAGTTTGGGCGGTTCACAGGTGCACTCATCTGGTGCCTTTGTTCCACCTGGGATCTGGAGTTATCCGAGTGTTAATCGGTGGCACTAATGAACCCCACCCTGCCTCGCACACATGCGAGTCGCAGTTGTGGGAATTTCGGCCTTCTCTCTCATAAATAAGGCCAAAACGGGTCCGCAACAAGTTCAAAGGAACACGATAAAATAAAGCTTTAAACTGCAGACATCTGTTGGGCAGGTGTACTACGACCATTAACCCTCATTTTGGGCGAAATCCCAAGTTTATCTTAAATTAAGGTTATCTGGTAATTGGCGACACCCGCAGTTCCGGAAAGCATTGACCATACTCAACGATTCCAAAGCCATAGCCAGGATTAAATTTCACAGGTTACAAAAACGTGATAGGCCAGTGTCTCAACGTTAGCAACTAATACTTACATTTAATATCACTACGTATTTCTAAACTTTTTTTCATTATCTCAGGATTCTATATTTATTGGACTTAATTTCAACGTGTTGCTAGATGTTTGCGATCTAGCCCATGGTTTGCACAATGCTCGGACCAAAATCAATAAATTATAAATCGCAATTCGAAGAACCACTAAGATATATTTGCTGTCAAATATTCACATTGTAATTCTGAAGCGGGTTTTGTCAAGCAACGTCTGTGGTACGTCATATCAAGACGAATGCTGCGGTAAAACTTGCTTTACATTGTGTAAATTGCAAAGGGGAGTTAAATTGTAGCACATCTAAAATTAAGGAAAATTAAATTGAAAAGTTTCTCCAAATTAACTAAAGCGATTAAAATGTTGGCGTGTAATGCTCATCAAAATTTGAAGCCATTGATCCCTGTAAGTATTTTTTTATTCAATTTTTATCCCGGTTTCTTTTTTATGAGATTTTTTAAAATTTCTTTTTTTTAACGTGTTGACATGAAATTAAACACTGTACCAACCTCTTGAAATCTGCATGACCATAATCGCAAGTATTTATTTGCAAAAAATTCAGATAAGTCACCTCGAGGAAGCTCATACTTGTTTTAACACCAATGAGGAATATCTTTTAATTTCACAGGTGATTTGAAAGGGGCTCAACGGTGGACTCGGGCCAGATAAGACCTCAAAAGTTTGAGAAAATGTCGAAAATTTGCTAAGATAATAAAGATTGTTATTGAACAGTCAAAATGTGTTGCATAATTCAAGACTCATGATAAAACTTGTAATGAAGGCATGATATTTACTCCACACCCAAAAGAATTAGTTTTCTTGAGTTTAGGGCGATTTGAGTGGATTAATTTATGTTTTACAAGATTTAGAGTTACCAAAACTCTCGAGAAGAAATATATATGTCATGTAGCCTACATAAAATGTCGAGTCAAGAGTCAAGTATTTGTTTAGTGGCTATAGACAGATGGAACATGAATTAAAAAACTTCTAGCCAGTAACATATAATTTTTAGCCAATAGTGCATACTTCGCTTGGAGAAGTTTGTTTCGCATAGTTCTGAGTTTATAAGGGACTTCTCAACTAGTTTTCTTATCAATTTATTTACTGGTGCAGAGGTTTTTAGCTGACTTGAGTGTTGAAAAATCTTGTTTATAAAAATGGTTTAACTGGGACACTGTCTCCAGAAGGTTAAAAGTGCATAATTGAATGCTCGCGTTGCGTTAAAAATAATTGGGCTAGCATGCATAGCTTGTAGGCCATGATAGTGTAAATCATCCTTCTGCTAAAAGCCTTCATGACTTATATAAACTATTTTAAGGCTACATCTTGTGTTCGTTATAATGAAGAACACCATTAATTAGTTCTAAAAGCATTATTCACGCCAAAAATTAGAGATTAAAAATTTGACTTAGAACGAGAACTAAAGTCCCATCGCATTCACAGACCTTAAAATACTAATCTAATGAAGGATGTCTTGGTCGATAATGGCACTAAAGCTACGTCCTCATTCTGACTGCAGACGCAGCAATGTGATGCTTTGGCCACTAATTTTTGCTGCTAAGTTGTAGGATTACTTTAAGGACAATATATTAGTTTATATAGTGCGTGGCTAAATATATAAAAATGCTTCTTTTGTGGGTTGTGGTGAGCATCCTGTAATGAGTACCTTTTTAATAACTCGATTAAAAAGCGTATTTACTGTGGTTTGCATGTCACCAATGGTCAACATATAATAGCATCGGGAATATCTGAAGTCAGTATTATGCACAAATACAAGCAAGTCAAAATCGACGAATCAAGAAGCAAAATTCTCGCACCTCTAGGGTTAATGGAACCGAATGATAAGGAACTGCATTTTAGCTTCTAACCTTCAGATCGTGAGAAGCCGGCCTTGTAACTTGGCTGGGTTGAATAAAAAATAAAGGCTACCAATCGTTTCTGATGAAAATAACGTGATAAGAATTTTCCAGCAATTTATTGTTGATTCAGGCTTTGTGCGTCACTTTTATATTTTGTTGAGGCATACAGGTAAGAGCAAATACAAATACCTAAATTAAGTTTAGGACTACCTATTTAGGGCAGTCAATATTTACGAGTTAAAATGAAAACAAAGATGTTCAGAAAGACTTGTAAATTGTTTTACAATTAGATTTAAAATGCCTTTGATGTTGATTACAGCTAATTAATTCGGCTCAGCTACTTAATACCTTTAGGAGTAATAAGTTAACTTATCTTAAATGTTCTCTTCCTAAGGAGATTTAAAAGGCTTCTTGTAGTCCTTCGTTGCACTCTGGCATTCAGTCTCAGATTGACTCCAATTTTGCATGATTAAGAGACTAAATGGCATATAACACCTTTTTTTAAAATTTTAGTTTCTAAAATAAGGAATAAGTAAAGCAAAATTTACAAGCTGAGCAGATACATATCCCTTAAAATTACCGGATGGTTTAAAAGGACCTTTAATTGTTGGCGGCTCATACGCTATTTGTACATTGCGCGTCCGTGGTGCTTGTGACGGGATGGCTGCCACCGAGAGCTTGATAACGGTCCTCCAGAAAACGGGTTCAAATGGTAACTGGTTATTGTCTCTCTTTTAACTTTAAACTAGTAAATAATGAATTGGTTGCCGCTCAACGCTTTTTGGAGGAGGCTGCTAGAGCTGACTTACCAGGGCTTCTAAAAAATTTGAGTGATATCCTTGCCAATGTGCAGTGTGACCCGATCGTACGAATGCAAGCTGGTCTGCAACTAAAAAACGCAATTTACTCCAAAGACCCGACAGCTCGTGCCTCGTATCATGCAAGGTGGCTTCAGTTTCCCCTTGAATACACTAATTACATTAAACAAAAAGTATGATCTAATGAGCAAGTTCAATTACATTTAGTGCTTCGAAGCTCTTGGTACCGAAACTACTGTTCATAGCTCAGCCGCCCAATGTATTGCACACATTGCTTGTGCTGAGGTCCCTGCCATGAGGTGGCCAGACCTTATGTCGAAGCTGGTAGCGAATGTGACGAATCCCACCAGTACTGAAAGCGTTAAACACGCGACGCTTGAGGCCATTGGATACATTTGCCAAGACATTGATCCATTTATACTATCGAATCAGTCGAGCGAAATCCTTACAGCGATAATTTTTGGGATGAAAAAGGAGGAACCAAGGTTAGATAGCTTCGATCACATTTTTGCCATAGTGACCTTGTCAAGTTAGCAGCAACAAACGCCCTTCTAAACTCTCTTGAGTTTACAAAACATCATTTTGATGTTGAACATGAGCGTAACTACATTATGCAGGTTGTCTGTGAATCTACTCAGTCTCCCGACCCTTTGATCAAGGTAGCAGCCCTTCAGTGCCTCGTAAAGATTATGTCACTTTACTACAGCTATATGGAGATGTATATGGGTCAGGCTCTTTTTGCGGTAAGTCGGTTTAATGATCTAGCAGCTTCACTATTGTAGATCACCTTAAACGCCATGAAATCGGATATTCCCGAAGTTTCACTTCAGGGTATAGAGTTTTGGTCAACAGTCAGCGATGAAGAATTAGAATTAGCAATTGAAGCATCTGAGTGTGCTGAAAAGGGTCAGCCTCCTACTGTTTCAAGCAAATTTTATGCTAAGGGTGCACTCCAATACATCGTCCCTATTTTAATGGAGATATTAGCCAAACAAGACGAGGGTGACGATGACGACGAGTGGAATCCCAGTAAAGCAGCAGGCGTTTGTATAATGCTCCTCGCCCAAGCATGTGAAGACGCCATTGTTGACATAGTGATACCTTTTGTTCGTCAGCATATAGAGAACCCCAATTGGAAATATCGAGATGCTGCAGTCATGAGTTTTGGTAGTATTTTGGAAGGCCCTAATCCGACGGCTCTCAAGCCCCTTGTCGTCTCAGCAATGCCAGTCATAATAAACATGCTTGGTGATCAGTCTCCAGCAGTGCGAGACACTACTGCTTGGACTCTTGGTCGTGTCTGCGAAGTCCTACCTGAAGTAGCTCTTTCGGATGACTACCTTAGGCCGTTACTTCAAGGACTTCTTGAGGGCCTTCAATCCGAACCTCGTGTTGCAGCTAATGTTTGTTGGGCTTTCTCGAATCTTGCTGATAGTGCTTATGAAGTAGCTTCTAATGAGTCTAATGGTACGCAACGCTTGTATTTAACGTACAACCCCCTTTAGAGCAGGAGTCAACGGACCCGCCGACGTATGCCCTATCGCCTTACTTTAAAGTGATTAATGAAAGACTTCTGGCAGTCTCAGAACGTCCCGATGGGGCACAACACAATCTAAGGAATGCTGCTTACTCGGCTCTAATGGCTTTAATGAGATCAGCAGCAAAGGATTGTTATGAGGAAGTAAAACGGGTCACTGGAATAGTTTTGGAACGCCTTAACTTTGTGATGGGCTTGGAAGGTCAAGTTATCTCGTCCCAGGATCGGGCCCAATTCAATGACCTCCAATCGCTTCTTTGTGCAACACTGCAATCTGTTTTGGGAAAAATAAATAAGGAAGATGCACCAGCTCTGGCAGGGCCTGTAAGTGCTGTTTCGTTTTGCTTGAATCCCAACCTCGACCTCCAATGTCTATTTATTTATTGGTTAGTCTAGGGTTTCCGATACTTGTGGATTCCCTTCATTGACTATCATTATTTTAGCTCTTCATTTAAATTAATTGGAGCGATGTGCCAAGAGCCCTTGACTGATCGCGGGTTGTTTTATGCTAGGGCACCCAAAGTGCCTACCCACTGAACTCATCTTTCGAAAATTATCGTAATCCGACCTTTTTGTAATATTACTTTTCACTTTCTTGTTGTATTTAAAGGGACTAACCTGTCCTTACCCAAAACATTAACTATTCCTCGCTTGTATTTTTTTATCTAGTCTAGCTCCTTGAAGTTTTCCTCAACCTGAAAGCCAAAGATAGCATTTTATTTCGTAATGAAAGATTTTGTAAATGGTGGGATACACCGCTTATTTCATTGGATTTTGAACAAGTGGAGTTGGACTTAAAAGGAACATAAATTGTTGACCACGGCTTAACTTGTGGAGTTGTGTTTTGTGGCGGTAAATTGAAGTTTCGGTCACCACAGAAGTTATAAAACTCATACATGGCTCATTCTGAGGGAATGCTGTCGGATATCCCGTCTTGAATTTCAAAAATAAGTATCTGTTGGTATAGATAATTGTAGAGTCCAGTCTTGGTAATGCATTTTTTAATAAATAAACCATTTCGAAATTCGATGAATACACTGAGGCATAGGGCCCTACTTTTACGGGTTTGTGTAAGGTTTATTTTAATGACTCGATTCTGATCGTCAGTTGATTGGGGTCTGTCTCCGTTGTTACACTAATTTTTTTAATTAGCTTATTTCACCCCGAGTCGAACCTTGTTTAGTATTCTTGACACTTCCCAAATAATACATTGTTTTCAGAAAATACGGTTTATTAAAATCTGTTTCCTACATAGTGTTTTCTCTGGAGATATGAATTAAATATTTAGAAGATGAGAGTTATATCAATGCAACTGATTTACAAAACTCAAAAATCTCATATGAATAGAATGACTTTTTTATCGTTTATAGATGAAACTTCTAACAACCATTTTTAATATTAAGTAAATAAAAAGCTTCCTTTTAATCTGAACAAATCACTTTGAAATCTTGTAGATAATGTCGGCTCTCATGACAATGCTGGCATCCACATCAGCCGCCAAGATTTCCGATGGCGCCGGTGACCAGGCTGGTGAGGCGAAAGATGCTGCGGCATCAACTTTGTCCACGGGTGTTCAGGAAGACGCCCTGCTTGCAATGTCTGCCTTACTGGATGTGCTAGGTGAAGGGTTTCTTCCTTACTTGGAACCGGTTATGCCTGTAGTCTATCGCTGCCTCTACCTCTGCGTAGAGACACAGGTCTGTGTCAACGCAATTGGCCTTCTCTCCGACCTTTGCCGCGTGTTAGGCAAGCATCTAGCTCCGCACTGCGACATCCTGGTGCAGATTTTGATGGAGGTACTCCAGAATTCCGAAGCTGACAAGTCCATTCGACCAGCAATTCTCTCCGCGTTCGGTGACATCTCACTAGCACTTGGTAATGGATTCGCAAAGTATCTGCCTGTTGTTATGGAGACCCTTAAACAGGCTACGCGAGCTGAAGTTGACCTGGTTAGTTTGTTTATTATTGATAATGTTGGCTTAATGTGCAAACTGTTGTTCGCTAGTTTGAACGCTGTTTTTCGCCAATATTAGTTTTTGATAAGTGATTATGAGTTGCTAGTAGTCAGCATGGGCAAATACTAATTGTCCAAGTTCAAAGTAGTCAGGTAAGGCTTGTTGTTCGTGTGTTTATCTGGTGTTGGTTAAATTTTGTGTCCCTTGTGTTTTGTGGCAAGGAGTCTTCCCGTTATAAAGTTTGCTGAACGGAGTTCCAAGGATTTTTAAATGTAATGCATGCTCTTGTTGGTTTCAGAACGACCCGGATATGGTGGAATATCTAAATTCTCTGTGGAGTAGCTGTCTTGAAGCCTACACTGGCATCATCCAGGGCATGAAGGACGGCGAGAACGGACAGTCGAGTCCACAAATGCAGTTTATCGCCGGCCATGTCAGCTTCATCGTAGCATTCATCCAACGTGTTGGAAATGATTCAATCAACACCGAGGACATAATTTCCTCTTCATGTGGCCTTATCGGGTACGCTGGCATTTAGTTTATTTAATTGCTCGTGATATCGTTACATCATAATTCAGAACGGCTTACTTTACATCTCTTGTCCTCATGTCATTACTACCAATTATGTGGATTCTTAAAATTTTATGGCATATACTCTAAACTGGATCGGTAAAATCGGGCGCTAAATGTGTTCACGTCACCGCAGTGTTTGCATATGCTTTTAACGATGTCGCTTACCTGAAAGAATGATTATCTTTCTTCGGTCTAGTGATCTGGTATCGGCCTTCGGCGCTCAAATCCTACCAATCGTAGATGTCGAACAGGTTCAAAACGTGCTAACTCTGGGACGTCGGTCAAAGAACAGTCGCACTCGAAGCGTAGCTAATTGGGCCACCAAGGAGATCAAAAAGTTGCAAAATGCCACCAAAGCTGCTGGCCTAGATTCAAACCAATTCACGGTCGCGGGTGCTAACGCCTCTGGAGCCTCAAGAGTTACCGCAGGAGGAAGTTCAGCTGGCACAATGAGGTCTTGAAGGTTCGGCTCTTCAAAGCTATCGGTCTTTCGAAGTATTTAGCGCTGGAATTTACAAGCATTTGTGTTTACAACGGTTTCTCCTAGCCGTTCCATCACATATTTTAAATGTGACGAAAAACACCAGGGAACTGTTCTTACATTAATATCGAGAGGTGTTAAATGGCATTTTTAGTCATTTTGGGCTTAATTTCGTTAGATAAATGCATAACTTTTAGCCTAATTGTTTGCTGTTTCTTCGGACCACGTGGATAATCGTCTGCAAATTTGTTCACTTAGTTCTTGGAAGATGTATCAGTCTTAACAACCAAGGACTAGCAGGAACTAATTAATTACTAAGCGTGTGGATGTAAAGTAGTTAAGTTATGGTTTTAACTTTTTTTAAAGATATTCACCCCTGTCGTCGACGCTTTTTGACAAACTCAAGAGTCGGTTGCCACTCCCCAGTATGATCCTTTTCTGCGGCAACTTCTCTTATAACTTTCCTGCCCCATTCATCTTTAAATTTATCTTTCCCTGTACAAACCTTCGTTACTGTCATCTGTTTGATATCTCGTTGTAGAGCAGACATATCCCCTCCATATTGCATTTTTTCCAATTTCCCCCGCTATCGAGATTCCAAGCCAAGATCTGTACCTCCGCGCTTATCCCATCCGCCTTAACTGTACTGTCAGTTCTGTGAAATTTTTATGATACCATGGATTGCGCTGACTCGGATAGCTTTTATCATTTGGGTACCAGGCAGAACTTGTACGATCTTTTCGCCTCTCCGGGTTGCCTGTGTTAATGCTTTTCCTTCTGTTAAGCCAACGAGCTACATGAATTCCTAAGTCATAGTATCAGAATTTAGCAATAGTCTTCATCCTGTTTTCTGTGAATGTTCTCGTTGAGACGCGCTGACACCTACTCACACTTTAAACTACAGTTTGTTTTGACTTGCGACCATGACTTACAGTACTCGGTTGTAATCGATTGACAAAAACTACTTGGCGATAGGGGTTGCGGTCTAGCTTTTCTCCACAACCAGAACGCCAGTAGTGGGGCGTGCCTTTGATAGCTTCTGTAGCTTATTGAGCAGTTAATTGGGGCTAGGTAAATAGTTCGTTCTTAAATTTGCATAGCTTAAGCGTATGATCTGGCCTTGAAGTCCGCCCAGGTGACAAGTTGGTTTGCAACACACTGTGGCAAGCGGCATACTCGACAAATACGCAGACTTCGTGCTCTGATGGTTGGCCCATCTGGGGAGTCGTGGTGCAGGGGTCCGCAACGTCACCATAATTGAGTCTAGAACGTAAGGTTTGCTTTACACATGTTATAAATCAAATTCTTTCAGGTATAAAAGAGAAGAATAATGTCTAAGCTTTGAGGTTGTTTCTGTCAGATTTGTGAGAGGAGGTGACACCGTGTTCAGAAAAAAGATCGGTAACCCTTCAACTTTCTGACTTTCTTGCAGACTGCTTTCACGAAATCAGAAGGCTGGAAGGTGGCGCTAATTTCCATTCCATGAGCCCCAATCAACAAGGACGCCTAAAACCAAAGCATTGTCTTTATTACGACAGAAAAATCTGCTCATTGGTACAGGATTGGCCGCATAAATTGCGCCTAAATGCTTGGCACAGTGTAGACATATTGTTTGGTCTCAGTTGAATTTTGAGGAAAATGAACGCCATGACTTACCTCATGTTGATTGTAAAACAGGTTTAGTGGTATGTGGTTGATTTCCGTGGCTGTCCAAGGTACCAGGTCTGGTTGGGAAGCGCTAACATGACGTTGTTTGAGAAATCGCAGCGGAGACAGTGCGGCTGCCGTGGTGGAGGGATTGCTTCGAAAATAACGTCGTGCCAGAGGGGGGAAACCGGTACACGCCAGCGGACCGTCCGAATCTACACTTTTAACCTACGGAAGCAAAACTGGGACAGTAGACTCAATTGTGGGCTTATCCACACCGCCAGAGGGTTTCAGAGTTGGCTGTCGACATGACCGTGGTCACCATGCTCGGCTATTAGTCTTGGCAAACCTGTGTGCTCGTATGTAGGCTATAAAGATGAAGGGTTGTAATTTTGCGCGATTAGTTGCCACGCGGTGTCAGGGTTGGAACCGTATCACGGTAGCATGTGGAGTGTTTTTCGCGTTGGAAGATAGATGATTCCCGCCGAGTCATTGAACACTTAACGTACACCACTGCTGTAGACAATCTCTTCAAAATACATTTGACTCAATGTGGGAAGCTAGGATAAATCAAAGGTGGATGATTTCGGCAAACTATTTAAATTACGCCGAGACTTGTTCAACGCCTTATCTTGCTAGGTATGCAGGCCCCGCTCTAACAGGGTAACGAAAGGTTAACAAGGTCTTTTAAAATAATCGTAAAACATGAAATACTTCATTTGAGAACACGGAGACTTATGAATTGGCCCCTAGACTTCTCAAATCGGAGGTCTGCAAACTAAATCGTCGACATCGAGTAACTGATGAAGTCGAGGAGAGTAGGTCGGAAAATTTTTATAGAAATACAGTAAATTCCACCAATTTCGTAATATTGTTGTGTGGTAAATTAAAAAATTTATCAATTCTGTGTTGCAGATCCCAAACGCGGCCACGACCGGAATATGTGCGTAAAAATTCGTTTCAATATGGCGATTGGCACTGCTAAAACTGTAAAAGTTACGTATCAATTCCACGATTGTGTTCGTGAGTTTGTACATTGTCGACCGCCTGTGCTGTTTTGAAATGCATAAATAGGATTAGGTGGTGGTAAAAGTGCAACGGACCAACTGTTGCAGTCGCCTTAGTGACAAGTGCCTCTAGCGACCATTAGGAAGCAAACTTCGGTCAAAAGTCAACGCATATTCACTGTTTATGTAAGGACTGTGGCATTGCGATTTATGGGGGTTACAGCCTACACATTCGACCGCTTTACGCTCTTGGCGTAATCACAGCTTTACATCGAGGCTCTTATTGTGTGAATCGACTACCGGATATACTAGCATGGTTTAGATTAATCTCCTAGCAATCGGTTACTGATGGTAGAAGGAAAACTAAGAGATATGGAGCCGTGTTTTTAGACGTTAGTAAATACATTCCAGTAGTTTGTTTGGGTAATAGGAGGCGGCTTAACCAATCGCACGTACTTTCAGTAGTTGTCATCTGTCACCGCAGAAGCAAGGCAAATCCGTCAACACGCATTGGCATCGGAATAGTTTTTGCAGAAGACAAGCAAGCAGAAGAAAAAAAAGGGAATCACTAACTTGATTCGTGCCGTTTTCATCGAAGGTAATGCCGATTTTCTGGTCCTGCCTTTGCCTGCACACAATCAGCGTCTTGGCCAGGGGTAGGCGACGAAGGCGCAGACGACACTTGACGTCGGCTGGTGTACGAAAATTCTCCCTCAAGGCCCATTTCTTCGTTCCTTCAACTACCTTTGCGACTTGACGCAGGTTTTGCACGTCGCAGCCATTTACAGAGACCAGCAAATCACCCACATGGAAGAGGCCATGCAGACTGCTCACTCGTGGATTCCATCCGGCTATCCTGCAAGCACAAATTAACAACACACAATATTGCCATTGTGGCTCTGATAGTTCCCAATGTGAGAGGCGTTTCCCGGATGAACTCAAACTGCATGGGTATCACTAAGCTGTTGAACAAATTGCTATCAGAAATCTTGCACCTAATAGCTTAGCGTAGACAAATAAAGACGAGATTTCTGACACCCAATTATAAGTCACTTCGAGTAACATCAAAGTGCGTGCCTAACATTTTGCGCGTGACAAGGACTTATAAACATTAACGCATTAAGACACCAACTATTAACCGAACAGAAGGGACGACGTCATTGACCGAATGTACTTTGTTCGCACATCCACAGTCTGCGAAATGCCAGCCGAAAGTAAAATTGGCGCTTGAGTCACCTTGCTTGGGCTACTTCCCGCGCATAAAAGAGGGAGACGCTTGTGTGACCTGCCTGCTTGTCAGCGCATGGGCTCACTCTTAGCTAACGCCAAAAAGCATTGGCTACATTATGTTGGGCATTACAGGTTGAAAATAAACTCACCATACTTGACTTTGTAGCTGAATTAAGGCAACGTTCGAAAGGAGTTCGGACGCCGCCACGTAAACTTCGATGCCACCGGGGTTAAGAATTTCCTTTTGCAGCCTAAGACTATCGGCGTAGAATGGGTCTACGTTCTCCGCTAAACAAGGCAATCCGATAAGTAGAATCGGAACGTGATACAGGTGATACAAGATAAACCAAAATTTAACTATCGTTTGTTTTGCAAAACGGCTTGCTCGACAGGTGTTTTTCAGAGAGGGTAGAAGGTGCAGAAATTCTTTGAGTCCGAACCAAGTTTTTCGAACAATTCATTGTAGGAAGGCGACTTTAAATCATAATTTTACGTCATTGGGCACAAAACCGTCTAGTAGTTATGAAATAACCAGTTCAGTAAATAAGTTGTACTTAAAACAGGGCTATTCTCTGCACTCGAAAAAGCATTCTACAAAATGCACTTCGTCAGAAGTCGTTAACAAAAAACAAATTCAAAAAATGAATGTACGGTAATATGGCCATCCAAATATGCTACGTTTTAAAACACTCGCTGTTGGCACTGAAATTATGCAACCCTTGTGACTCTTATACAGGATTTGTCACGACCAGAGAGTATTGCCACTCAAAATGACCTTCTAGAACCCGATCTTTGGCAAAAAATCAATTGATGTAAAGGATAAATATGCAACTGCAAATATGAGATAGCAAGATCGCTTAACAACACTGGTGGGTAACACTAGTATTTGAAGACTAAAGCTAGTGTGAACGCAGGTTTCATTTGAAATCGGCTTTAACAAAAGTAGTTCCGATATCTAGTGAAGGTTGCAAAGCCCCTAGGCGATTTTCATGAAGTGACACATTTTGACTCCGTCTACGTTAAGGCCGATGTAGCTTTTTAGGTTACTTCTCTTAGAAAAAAATACAGTAATGACACATACTACACGAGCTGGATTTGCCAGGTATGAGGGCATTGCACGACCGGCCTCTGGGTTCAACGACGATTGGTTCGGCTTGCACATTGAATTCCGGTGGGTCAGGGTTAGGTGGGAGGCAGGTTGTGGAAGAGGAAGGCGGCGGCAGCAAGTAAATTGCGTTGTCAGTGTCATCAAAATCAGGACTTTTCTGGCAGACATTTTCTCCGGAAACATCTTCACTAGATTTCTGGAACCAATAACCGAACTTTAGTTATACGATTAATCCCACACTATCGAAATAGAATGAAAAAATACCCCTTTCTGGTTTCATTTCGTTTATCTGGAAATATTTTGCGGCGATTTGAAATAAGTTAATATTGAGTCATTTTAAACTTTCCAAAGTATTCAATGCCTAAATAAACGTTTCTAAGATGGCAAATCTTGCCAAAAATTATACCCGATAAAGTTCGACCCTAGAAGCAAACTAAAATTAGGGACAACGGCACTAAAGCTTATAAAAAGCAAAATAAACCAACAATACGAATTTTCAATCAATACTTTCCAAATAAGCAATCTAGATAGATGACCAATCTGTAGTTCATTACAGCAATTTGGGTCACAAGATAGCTTGGACCTAGTTTTGGCCGTTGATAGCTTTAGAATATTTTTGAAAAACCCAATAAGTCCGATTGCCCCTAAACTAGTTCTAAATCAAATTTTTTTACGGATGCCTTAAATCGACGAAATGGCTTAATCTGGTAAACATTATTAGTTGAGGTCAGGTGAGAATAAATATACCCCTGTCAAGTGTGTGTTACAAAATGGCTTTCGCTTGGAGAACATTTCTTGCCATAGATCGTACCGAATACCGTTGGGAAAATTACGCGGACGGTTAATAAACTACGACATAAAAGTAATAGGCAAAATCACAAATTTTGGCGGGCCAAAAGGTACATTGTCAAACACCCACTTTCAACACACACAAAAACCCAACTTAAAAAAATCAGCATTTACACTTGATGGAAGCAAATTGTGTTTTGAAAAAAACCACACAGAATGAAAGAAGATACAATTCACCAGCGAAGATGTTGATTAACCCAGAATTTGGACTTACGTCACAAGGTTCGTTTATAAAAGGTTCATAACTCCTCGTAATCCAGGGTCGACTGTTCAAAGCCTTCCCAATCATATTCTAAATTGGAAAGGTGTGCATTTATCTGGCACGTGGTATATTTGGGGAAATGGCTGTCCACTATACTCAAAAATACTGGAAGATGACACACGAAAGGCAAATTTTGTGACACGAATGACAAAACGAAAAATGAGGTTACAGGGTTTTGTAATAGATTGCAATAGACTTATTATCAAAAATTGTATTTCTTCAAGCTATTACAATTCATGCAACTTTTTAATATAGAAGTAATATTATACTTTGTCAGATCAACGGATGATTACACCAATAACTTCTGTTAAAACCATACACAGTAAAGATGATTCGTTAATTTTGAAGGCATTCTAGAGTATTCGGATATAACTAAGCCTTCATTTACCACTATTTCCAGGTAAGGAGATAACTGGAGGCAGAAGATATATTACCTTATAATCGCATCAGAAAACTTCGGAAAATATTAATGGCTTAACTAAGTTCATAAAAAAAATTGACTATATTTCAGCGCACGATTTATTTAATTTAAAGGGCCCTTTAGTCTATTTAACGCATATTTATCAAGTATGACTTATACTACAAAGGTGTCAAATAAAAAAGTTATATGAAAAAATTTACAAAGTTACAAACTCGAAAATGTACACCAGTAACACTTGTAAAGCGACCGCGAATCCTGAGTGACCTATAAGTGGTCAATTTTAATTCACAGCCAATTGTCAAGGAGGGAGACACTGCAAGAATTTTCAGAAAAACTACTTGACCCAAAAATCAAAAAAGATATTTTTAAAAAAGCACATCACAGAAAGTCTATTAAGTAGCATTTGTAAATTTAAACAGAAAATTTCGGGAAACCATGGATTAATGCACACAGGTAAATGCGCAACAGAAGCGATATAAGTTAATATAATAAAAGTTAGAAAAGCGTTGAAATCGACTAGTGTAAAATTCGTGGTTGTTGTAAGTCCAGCATCTCTATGAAACTCAATTCTAAGGATAGGTATTTTTAAAGAAATATGTTAATTCTGAAAACATACTGACTGAATTCGCAGTGAAGACATTTACCTGATTGCTGAAGGTAGGAATTTTATGTCCAAGGGGCATATAGACACTCTGAAATAAAAATGATTGCCAGATATTATAATAGAGACTGATTGCTACGTAGCATTACCTGTCATTACGGGTCATTTCAAAATTAAATATAATGCAAATGGATAAATAACAAGAGCAGTCAACTGTGTTTACGAGTATGAAATCTAGAGTTATCGGTGTTTTTAAAAATGTCACACATGTAAAGGTGTTTGTTTTAAAGCGTTAACATTCACTTAAAAAGATGATATTTCATAGATATATCTTAATCGAACTTTTTAATTTACTAAGTGAAGGTAATTGTAGCATTACCTATAATTTGCTCTCCCCGAAGAAAGCCCACTGAAAACGAATGTTGTATTTGTAGTTTTTGTGCCAAATGTTAAATTAATTCCGTTGTGTAGGACAACAGTTGTTTGCTTCTCATAGACGCAAAACAAAGTTTTATTCGGCTATAATTGACATGGAGTGATGTTTACATAAAGTAACCGGAGATTAGTTGACAATTTCGCTTGCTTAACTGCCACATTTGAATATAGGCATTTTTGCTAAACAGCTTATTTTCATTTCCAGTAAATGGATATGGTAATTTTAATTCAGGTCTTATTGTTTGTTTGAATTCTTATTTTAAATGTTTTTGTGCACCTGCCGATATAATTTGACGAAAAAAGAACCTTCGTCCTAAGTCTTTCAGATGCTTTCAGGAGTTATCTTTACTGTTGTATTATTATGAATTTTTGCATTTACAACAGATGGTCATGAACGTACACAACACCACCACGCAAAACCACAAAACAAAGATCGTTGGTTATTAAGCCCTTAGAGGTTTTTTTCTAATTTTGTAACTAATTTAATATATTTAACCTTCGAAGTATCAGTAGATTTACGCAAATTCAAATGTCTAGCTCAAAATGCCATTTCTGCAGTCATCACCGCTCTTAATTATCCAAGGTCCAACTCATTCTGCATGATACCTAAAAGATTTGCCAAAACTTACCCGTTAGCAACTACAAGTTCCTGATATAAATGGTCTCCTTACATATTCTCTTTTTTTAAGGATTAGTCAACTCAACTTTAATTTTTTAAAAATTAATGATACATTTACTTTAAAAATTAAGTTTTTCTTAACTTATTATTTAAAAAATGTGATTCAACGTTAATTGATCTAATAGTTTTACACGAATTAAAATGGAAAATGTCTATCTTTTCATCACGTAGATTTCAACTTGAGACTGCCCATAAATCAACTGTTCCATTCGTCGACGTTTTTTTTAATTTGGCGGTTCTGCGTTTCGAATATGGCCGCGCCCTGCTCTCTCGATTATTGCCAATTAATGAGTTTTTTTATAAAATATGCTCTGATTTTATTTTTATTCGATGGTTTTGCGTGTTCGTGGGGAAAATTTTATATGAGTAACGAAAAACGTGAGGATCTGAGGTAGTTGTGTTTGGTAGATAATTTCTTAGACTTAAGTCTAAGGAGATGTTTCTTCATGCCTACAACAGCTACATGGTATGGTCACATTTATTTTACCAGTTTTAAGCATTTTGCATTTCCTGCTGATGAACTAATGCCATTGTCATGCAAAGGACGATACCGAAACACTGAGCCTTCTCGTGGAACGGTCGACGATGCACTGGGAAATTTTTCTCTTTCCCTAATTGACAGCCTCGACACACTTTTTGTAAGTCGGTGACAACTCGGATAATATTTTTGCTTAGCTCCTAGATGAAGTTGATGAATTTGAGCGCGCTGTTCTCCGGGTTATACGAAACGTATCGTTTAATACCAATGTTGTTGTATCCGTCTTTGAAACCAACATTCGCGTATTGGGGTAAATTTAATGATTACGTCCGAATAAGCATTTGTTGTTGTTTTTCCCGTTTAGGGACTTTTGTAGTTTTGTCAGTAATTGACGACTTGAATCGTTTCTGTTTTCTTCCTTTGATTTCTAGTGGTTTACTTGGTGGGCATGTGTCAGCCCTTGCTGTCAAATCAAGCAACGCGAGTCGCATGTCGTGGTACGATAAACAGCTTCTGGACGTGGCTATTGATTTGGGAAACCGTCTGCTGCCCTCATTTAACACATCCACTGGTCTACCTTATCCACAGATAAATTTACGTACTGGTAAACCGTCATCAGTTGTAAGTCTAATCTGTATTCCGTTTGGATATTTTTGGTTTGGCGGTTTTACGTAACGTGTACTGCCGTCCTAGTTTTTTTTGTGTTAACGCTTCATTGAGTCGCCGAAGAAGCTAAAAATTCAAAGTCAACTTCAAGTTCAAATGTGAATGTAGAATCCGATTTTTATTCACCGGTGATGTGCACATACACTAATACTTGTTTTGATGATTTCCTCGACACTCAGTGTTATTCTTCTAGTCTAGGTGTTTATTTCATCACTTTCTATGGTTGAGTGCTACTTCAAGGTTATATTGCATTACAGTTGCATACTTGTACGGCCTGCGCAGGGACGCTGATTTTGGAGTTCGCCGCTCTCAGTCGTCTTTCTGGTAATCCGATCTACGAGGAAAAGGCCTCTCAGGCACTATCATACTTGTGGAAACAACGCAATCGCTATTCTGACCTTGTAGGGACTGAAATCAACGTCCTCAGTGGAGAATGGGTTAAAAGAGGTAAATTCACTCATTGTTGATTCCCTTGACCAACTTAGTTGCATGAAGCGCCAGCTTGAAAGGCTTCTGTACATATGTGTGTACGTTCTTAACAATTGCCCATGATGTTTATCTGGTTGATTAAATGGTCGTAAAGAAATTCGTCCTCAAAGTAAACATCGAAGCTTGAATGGATTTTTTTAACTTGCTTCACTCGCCTCTGCCCAATCTCCTCATACTTCGGCTGTAGACGGAAAATCACTTCTGTATTTATTGGTAATATTACAAAAGTTGACGTATTTGTGTGTGTGTGTGACTGTTTTTTAAATTTCTGCAGTTGGATACTTCAGTAGAAAGAGCAGTTAAGCGAGTTTGCTTCCGAGGTCAAAGTGATATATTTTCAAAGGGGACCTACGGTAGCAAAATTAGCCTGTACTTTAGGTTCCAACGCGTGATCTCAGCTCACTGATGAAAACCTATTGGGATTTCACCAGTGCCTAAGTCTTTAACGCAAACATGGTGGAAGAGCCGTTCGGGTTTGTTCCCATTGATTTGTTGCCCCTCGGGGGTGGATGGATTGATTTGGGGCGCCATGCATAAATGCAAAAGGAATTAGATGTTTAATCGAAAATAATCTTTTTTCATTGGTTAAACGATTTCGTAACCTCCTATTGTCGGCTCCAATCGTGTCCAGAAATGTCACTTTAATGAAGTCCGTCGGGTTTTTATTGCCATAATTTTTCTTTAGCAGGGTCTCTTCATCTGTCTTGATAACCCATACGTATATATTGTTTACTCTAGATCGATAGAATTCCTGGCTCTAGATGGTGATTTCTCCCTCATTATTGTATATTGAGCGTCTGCATTTAAGAATTTAAAAAAAGAACTTATTTATTTCACAAATTTTGCTGATGGTAAGTGGCAAAGATCTGGCAGGTGTGTTTTAGTCGGTCAGTCGGTATATGATAAGTCAAAGTAGATTATTTTTAACCAACCCCACGACGCACATACTTAGAGTCGGGCGTTGGAGCCGGTATCGACTCATACTACGAGAGCCTCCTGAAGGCTTATGGCCTTCTTGGCGACCCCGTCTACTTGCATCGTTTTCAAACGCACTACTCCGCCGTGGAACGATATATGGGAGCTCCCGGAAGCAGGGCCTTCCCCTTCTCCTTCCTCAGTGTCTTCATGCACAAACCTTCCGAGAAGTCCCGATTCTACATGGACGCTCTTCAGGCATTTTGGCCCGGCCTTCAGGTACACCTTGCCAATAAACCGCTGTAACCTTCCTACCATTTGTTCACTTGGCATATCCGCAGTCTTCATTTATTACCGAGTGCTGTTGTTTTCCGTGCAATTTGCACGCCAATCAAAGAAGGAATTATTGTGTATTTTTGTTGCCGCAATCTATCTGCGGTTCAATTTGTACTACCTGTCCTTTATTTTTCTGAGCAGTTGGCATGTTTTAGAGTTAACATTCAACATCGTTATCACTGGCAATCCTTATCGGCGCACCTTTTACGTACCCAAGGGGCTTTTAGCCACTTTAAAGTGTGTCGTAATTCCAATTGTGAAAAATTTTGGAACCAGAACGCACTATCTTTTCCCGCTTGGTGACAAAACTTTGGTTACCCCATTGCGTCTCATGGTAGTTTAAGTCGGAGATGTTTTGCAAAGGGAATTTCATTGTGGCGGTGGCAGAACGACATTGGTGCGTACTAACGTAGTGGGCGTCACGTGGGCATTTTCCTGGGGGTGCATTTTTTGGGGACTTTTGTAGTTCTATTTTTGGCTACGGGCATCAGAGGTCTTAGATTCAAAATACACCACGTTCGGAATTCGAGAAGATAATCCCCTCAAATGAATATAGATTCACCGTTCAGAACTAAACACTTGGCACCGATCAAGGTGGCCGCATCATGAAAGTCTGTGTACCGTGGTACTGGCAGCGTGATCGTGTGGACTTCCTTAGCTGCCACTTTGCCTGACCGTGGTGCCACCTATCCGCCCCATTTTCTTCTAAAGCAGCACTCCAATGGCAAAAACCGCACACCACATTAAGGCACCGGAAAGCGTAAGTGACTGTGTAGTTTATAGACAAGGTGCTGGTGTCGTACATGTTTTTCTTTCTACTTGGTGGCAAATTGGGCAAATTTAGGACCTGGTACCGACCCCGTGAAACTAATTTCCCTAGTTACCAGGGGATTGTTCTCTCTTGATAGACAATCAATGGAGACGTGAACGCGGCGGTGGCCCACCACGAGATGCTCTTCATGGTGCACCAACGACATGGCCTTCTGCCTGAAGCCTTCACGACGGACATGGATATTTACTGGCCCTACCATCTAATTCGGCCGGAGTTAGTCGAGTCGACTTACCTTCTCTACAGGAGCACCGGCGACTCCTACTATTTGCACGTGGGTGCTGAGCTGTTGTCGAGCATTGAGAATTACACCAAGGTTTCCTGTGGATTCGCCGCCATAGAGGTATATTTCGGCCAAAGCTTAAGTATGCTAACGCGCTTTAATTTTTCATGCGCACGAAGATGCTTGAGTCCGGTATTTTCAATTTTTAACGAAGTCATTAATTGAAGCGGCTTATGATTCGCTTAAAAATCGGTGGCTTTCAAAGAATTAGTACGATGCTAGTGCAAGTAATAAATATTTCACGTGTTATTTCAGAACTTCGTTGAATACAACAGCCTTTCTGTTTTTTGACAGGGAAGTATGTTATTTTTCGCGCTCCACAACCTTGTGGTTATTTACGGTATCCATTTTTAATTGGTTAACTCTTTTTGTTGCTAACCGTTATTTCATTGTAATTCTTTTGTAGATATTTAGCAATTTCACTCCTTGTGCGAAGACATCTTGTTCTGATTAGCAGGAAGTGCTGTAACTACTGTGCTATCAACATTGACGGTCTGGACTGGAATTCACACCAAGTTCACTGTTTTCTAATTCCTCTCATCTTGAATGACTTTCCCCGTTGAATTAGCACACTTGTAACTACATGCGACCAAGAAGAATATGCCCACTAAATTTGTTTTAAAGTAACAAGTGCTTTTTGCGGCCACAATGTGACGATGCAATTAGTCCGAATCATATTTTTTTGGGTCGAAGTCGGTGGCATCGGTCCGTTGTCGTGAGGTATCGAAGGTCATTTCCTGCAAGTCGTAACCAGCGCTGAAGCCTATGCCCTTCTCCTCTTCGAAATAAACTGTAACATCTTGTATTTGGCGTGTTTTGATGAAGGGTTGCTGGAGAAAGTTGCACTCTACTCGAATGATTTGGCCTCCAACACGTTCCTCATGTTGTCGAGGCAAGGTTCTTAGTGGTGTCACGAAGGTTTGTAAAATTCGTTGTTGGCTATTTCGCCTACTTGCCCTGATTGTACTGTTTCTGTGCCTCGAGCAACGGATTGGTGGCAAATACATGCTTCAGTCGGACGATTTTTCTTTGTTAACGTCTGTTTAGGACTTAGTTTTGAGTAAGTTTGGCTATGCGTTTTTTGCAGTCATTGAGACACTTGGTTTAGACATGAATGCATACAGGTAAAACCGGTATTAATAAATATCTGTTTCTTTGAAGCTTCCGTTCTATTAAAAGAAAATTATCTTGAAGGGCTATTTAAAAGTGGGGTTAATGAGTCGTAAACCACTTTGCGCTGCAGGACAACTTGGGATTCATTGTTGGTATAAATCCTAAGTTTTTGCTGCGCCACTATTAATTCAATGTTTTTTTTTCTCCTAGGACATTCGAACAATGAAGCATTCCGACAGAATGGATTCGTTTGTATTGGCGGAGACCTTTAAGTACTTCTACCTCCTATTTTCGAAGCCATCTCAACTTCCAATCGATTTGGAGCAATATGTGCTCACAACTGAGGCGCACATTCTCCCGATTGGTCTTCCCAAGCAGCACCTGCCTGCGCCAATGGCGCCTCAGCCCGACGAGCCCCACCCGTCGAGTCCCTATCGCCGCGCTTGGGGCGAGACCTGTGCGGCGCCGGACGAGATGGCGGTTGTTATGCGTTTATTCCACGCCGAGCCTGGCACCTGTCAAGCGCACCTCTGGAAGCACCTCGAGGCCATTAGGGAGCCGCTGCGCTTCGTGGCCAAGACCATCGGATCGAAGCACAACAACGCGCCGGGCGACATCCCCCTGGTGGATCCTCCACGGCTCAGTGCTGATGACTTCAACACAAATAACATCACGTACCTGCAGACGTTGCGAAAAATGGGGATTATGGTAGTTGTGGGCAAGGGCGGGGAAATCCTGCTGAAGCTCAACCGCTCGGAGGTAATTAATTGACTAGTCGTTTTTAGGGCACTTAACATTCGTATAACATCCGGGACGCAAGTTAGTGTTGGTCGTCTGTTGGTGCACTCGACATTCGCGCATAGAAAATCTTACTTTGATTACTAGGAATAATGACTTTGCTTCAAAAACCTTGCACTTTAATTGCGCACCGTGAAACTCAAAAGTCTTGTGACGTTGTGGCAGTTGAGCGTGCTTGAGTTTTGTAAGCGCGTGGTGTTCGCCTCTAGAAGTATTCAATATTTTTAAGCTAATTTTGTGTATACGCCTGTTGGTAGCCGACGCTAGCGCTTGCTTTACTGCCGTGAGAGATCACGTGCTAAAAATGTTGCGCCCTTGTGCCCGTAAGGTCAGTCGTTGCAGTCATGTGTTGTTAGTTTGTCAGCCTCTTAATGCAACATCCAAATGGCGCAGTGCTCGAGTAAAGTACCAACATTTTAAAACGCAACATTTTTATTTACTTAGACGTGCAAATTTTACACTGACATTTGCATACAAACCTTTTGGACCAACCAAACCTGACATAACTGAGGAGGTGTTTGTTGGACTTTCTGTTTGGTCTGGCAAAGAACTCAGTGGGTTGTTTGATCGTAGTTATCGTTATCCCGGTTATTTTTTTATTATAACCGTACGCTGAAGCAATTGTACACCGTTTATTACTAATTAATTGGGTATTGATTATCCACTTCGTTACCGACGTTTTTGCAATCACTTTAGGTCTTAGATTGATTTGTACCCTTGAATCCATGACCAGTGAGCCCTGAATCGATTAACTAGTTTCCGTGTTCCCTTAGTCAACACTGGCTTAGTGCTCTACACCAGGTAGAATCCAGTGTCACATTTGGTTGGTCCGAACCATATTCCTTTGCTGTCGGCACTCCAGCAGCTTAAAGTGAAAGCTTCTCTCAATGCCCCTCGGTGCCATTGTCCTCTCCGTGTCCTGCGTCCTCTGAACAGTGTGCCAACATTTGCTTTTAGGCGGAATCTCCTCTCCTCGGTCTCTCTGGCTTAAAGTTTATCGAAGACATCATCGAGATGAACCAAGCAAGAAATCAACAGCCACAAGGTAAAGTAGGCTTATCCGGTACTATTTAGATGATTCAAATTACCATCCAGTCTTGTAAGCCGTTTTATAATCACTTTTCTGACATTTTACGCTAGTTTGAAGTGATTTTTCGTATGTCTGGCTTGCACTTCAAGAGCTTCCACATTCGAGGCCACCACTCCCTAGTGCCTTTATAGTTAAATTTCCACGAATATCTGGAAATAGGGTCATTCGCATTATTTCTCCAATACGACTTACCTGATGCAAAATCTCAAACGGCTCCTTTCGCAACCGACATTTTAATGACGCCAAAACTGTGCGCTTTAAGATGCTTTGTTGTCGGGTTCCGCAAAGCTAATCAGTTAATCGTCAACGTTGTATCACTGTACAATGCAAACCAGCGCACATCGCTATGCAGTACCTTCTAACTCCTCAGCTTTCTGTAGATTATGCCGTCGGGGTCAGTGGACAGAAGTGGCACCGTAACCCCTCAAGAATATCCTAACAGCGCCTTCACTTAACACCAAACAAATCGGATGCTTCTACCTTAAAGTCGCAGTGACGTAGATAGGACATTTGGCGGCGTAAACCTGCGTAAACTTTGTCACTGACGCAGCTTACACTGTTCATTCGTACCCCAGTAGATGCTGTCGCCTTGGATGCCCATTTTGCTACATCTGAAAATTTGTGAATGTTTTGCTCATGGATGTGCATGGTTTAAGATAGATAAACTCTTAAAAAGCAAACAATGCACCCGGATCTCCGTTCCAAAACCACTTACTTTTGTATTGAGAACACTGTTTCCTACTGTGCCATTTTTGCCAAATCTAAGTAGCTCTTCAAGTGAAATCTGATAGAATTTATGTGAATCAGGCCTAACCACACATTCTCTCCAACTGTTAGCAGAGGGTGAGTCGATCACGCCGCACACCGTCGCTCTGGTGCATCCGCCGCATTATGGACGCACACGGTTTGAGGCCGGTCCCTCCATTTTCACCCACTACCCAGGCGAGTCTGCCCAGCTGCCTCAGTCGCGGAAAAAGTCCGATTCTCCTACCGATAGTGATATCGGCACCACAGAACACTCATGGCAACCTGTAGTAGGCCCTCTTGTTCTCACGGAACCCTTCGACGCGTGCACACCAGTATACGCTGACGGGTATCTTCTCCCAAGTGGAGAACATCACGCAGACTTTTTCGAATCAAATGCAGATGGAGGTGCTGGGAGCGGCTCCCACAAAAGATTACTAAAAGACGCAATCGCCATCGTCAAACGGGGTGGTTGCATGTTCCTGGACAAAGCGCTCCATGTTAAGCAGGTGAGTTAATTACTGGTCTCGTTCCCACTAGTCATCCCCCTTCGAAGGTGAATTAAAGTCCGAAGTTTTTGTCGGCCTGCCGCCTTGTGATCGGATTCCTGCAACTACCCATATTTTCAATCTCTCATTTGCAAAGACATTTCTGTTTCTTAGATATAAGACATCCCAAAAATAATTACTACTCATTTTAAAGCCTTTTTTTGTGTAGAAACTAGTTTCCTGTGAGTTGACTTCAGTATTTTTGGATTTACCTATTTTTATCCTCATTCCGAAATCCCCCACCAACTTTCTGGTGATTCAACACCGTTTTGATCGAGTGAAGGAAGGACTTTTTGCATGAAGTTGTCACACCCCCTGTTTGAATGTTTTAGATGGGAGCTCGTGGAGTCATCGTGGTGGACAGCACGCCTGGAACCTCATCGACAAAAAACCAACTTTTTTATATGTCAGGCGACGCACCGGATGGAACGCCTCCAAAGGTGTCACTGGAGCTACCGTTTGTCTTCCTGTACAACGAAGAAGGCAAAGCACTTATCTCAAACATGGTTCGAAGATGGACGTCGAAGGCAGAACCCGCCATCGCAGTGATAGCTAAGCACAACGATAGTCCGAGTACGTGTCAAACTAGATTAATTACAGTTTCGACTAAGACTTGAACTTACCATTATTTGTACCCCAATTTGCCAGCCATTTCCTGAGACATCAGGAAGCATCTTTTGTGTACGGCGACAACAGAAACAATTACTCAGATAGTTTTTGGGCCTTCCTATCGACCAAAAAATCATCGCTAATAACGCCTGCAATTTTTGCCGAAGTAATTGGGAATCTTGCCCTGTGGTGAAGCCGTTTGAATTAAATGTGTAATCCCCACGCCAGCTGAATGATTACGTATATGCTTTGTAGAGGTAAACATGTAAAAGTCAGTCAATAAGCATTATCTATCCTTTATAAGTTCATTGTTCGTATAGGATTACACCTCCCCCCCCCCAGATGGTTTTTCTACAAGATCTTTTAGGGACTGTTGATGACGATCGTAACTCAAGTGTCCTATTTTATCTTTTATTCCAGGAATTTTGTCCTACAGCTTGCGCTACCTGGACACACACTCACCGGTTCGTTGTTTTTAATATTGGTAATAGTAACGCTACACCACAATTTTTATTATTAATTGACCCTCAACCACCGAATAATGCGTTTGTAACTAGCCCTTTTCAAAACTTGAACATGTAGGCGAATGCCGACGACGGCAGAAACTGCCTTGAATTGTTGTCTCACGTCAGAAGGCCAAGTTCGCAATGCTCAACCAGAGAACGAATTGTGGTCAAAGAAAGTCTGTCCCAGGGCGATGACACTTGGAACATAACACTCGGCCCAGTGGACGACGTGGAAAGTTTTGTCCACGTGGACGAGCAGTCCGGAAGCCTTACTCCGAAGAGTCCAATCGTTTGGAGCGAATTCATAGCGCAGCACTGGCCCAGCACCGCCTAGTAAGTTATTAATCGTAGACCCCCACTACCTAGTAGCATGTCTCTTCAACCAGCACCTTAGCCCATCGTGCCCTAACCTTAAACATTCCCACCCTTGACTCGTTCAGTCAATTCTCATGATTCCAACACACAGCGATATTATTGGCATCCTCCTAGTCCTTACGTGTCCTCCCTTCATTTTGCAGTGGCGACCAGTGCAAGGATCTGATGCTAGCTATTTTCGAGGCCACCCTATCTCAGATCGTTGATGCAGACAGACCAAAATCCCAAGCGTCGGTGACCAAAGTGAGTCGTCACTGGCGCGAGCGCATTAGCGAGTGCCTGAAACCTATGGCGGTAAACGCAACAGATGATTGTCTTTCGACGCATATACGACTAGTACTTGTGGTTAGAGCGATGGACGCCTGTTAAAGCGGATCGTCCGGTCGCCACATCAAAATCAGTCTTTCAAGGTTCAGCGTGTCACTAGAGAAATTTTCTGGTCAATTTTACTTCTGGGAAATAAACGATTTCATAACGCACGAACTTCTCCCCAAACCGATTAGCAAGCAAACAGACAATAATAACGCAACATGCGGTTCTATTAACTAGTTCGAAGTATCTACTGGATTCTGCCCCAATTTGTCCGATTTGGGAAAGCATCACACTCCCGTCAGAGGTTTAAACGAGACTGGTCATATGTCGCCAAATGCAGACAAGATGGGTGCTAAATGTAGCGGTGAAGTAGAGTACAAGACTTACCAGTATCACAATCACAAAACTTTTTCAATGGCGTCAGAAATTCTGTCGAGTTTTTCTTGAGTGTCGACAAATCCGTCGCCATTCTTAACAGAATTATAATCAAGCTCACTGAATTACCTTTTTTGAGAAGACTAGCCCCAGACCACTAATTTCAACCTCAAACCAGCCAGTAGATGTGGGCGTGCCCTTACCAGTCTGGGACATAAAATTCAGCAACTTGCAACATACCACTTCGATGCGGTCACCGAAACGTTGGACTAGGGCATCCTTGAACCGGCTGAACTATAATGTGCAGTTTAATGTTTCAAAAGGAGAAGCACTAACTTTGGGTTCATATCCTCACGCACCACTGAAAAAGTCAAAATAGTTGAAAGGAGGAGTACCTACCAGTAGGTAACGTGAACCTTTACGACCATTTCAGCACTTCCGAGCACGTCCAACACTAAATTGGCGGCAAGGTGATTCGGCGTTCACAAGCAATATAAACAACCCAATAAACGTAATTATGGAGATAATAAATGTGGTAATGGTATTTCTTTGGACCTCGTTGCATTGGATTATCTACCATGTCATTGAACTATGCTTATTTATGTCGGTGGTAACGAATCAGAACTGTTAACAAAATGCGAAAATGTCAAACTGGTCATTATGCACAATTAAGATGACGTTAATAAATTTAGGGTGAATGAGCTAATTAAACATCCAAATTCTATTCAATACTTGCGGAGAGTATTTCGACATCAAATGTTGCTTTTTAGACGGAAAGACTGCTAGATCCAATTGAATTATATAATAATTGACGGAGACTGTTAAAATTGATTGAGGTGTAGCGCCATAGTGATGAATTACATTAAGAAAGTATCAATGTAGTGGAGTTGGGACCATACGGATATAAATAATTGTGGCATTATTTGTTTACTAGCGTTTTGGTGATGAGCGCATTATCGAAGGCCAATACACAGCTGCAATTATTTATATGCATCGTCGATAAAAGTATATTCATTTTCCAACAATAGAGCAGTAATAATCCGAAAATTTAATCTGTTCTTTTCAGAAATTGTGAAAACAACAAGCAAATAAAGCAGTTTGTGCCAAGAGATTGCAATTCACTTATAATGATTCATAATATGATTTCTACTGCACACATTTTTAAAAAAATTCGTTTATTTTGCGAAATGTCTGCTGTTTTTCCATGGTAAATGGATTAATATGTGATGTTTCTCTCTTAGCTTGATCAAAAAGGAGTAAATTTTAATTTAGAGAAATTTCATTGCTTAATAAGGGAAATGCCACCAAAGTAACAATAATATCTGCGAATTTGAAATGATAGTCATTTTGGTTCTATTACATGATATTTTACCATTACTATGGACTTTACTTATATCCCGCAAACGCAAAAAGGTGCTTAGCCGATTGTCGGTGATGATCACACAGGGCTAGTACAAAGGCCTTTTTAAAATGTTTTATTTGCACAGAATGTTTCAATTTACAAATTATCAGGTAAATTTTTCAAACTCTTTAATTGTAAAGGAGTATTTTTAATATAAACAGTTTGAATATGTTTCTATAACCCACACTTTTACAGCAATAACCCATAATATTTACACATTTTTCTAAACGCCTTCTTCGATTCCTCAACAATAAAGATTTCGTAATGAACAGTTCATTTTAATAGGCAATTTTGTAACATCGTCGTTCTTTTTCTAGACATAAATGTTTTTTTTTGACTTTTTACAAAATGAATACAAACTTAGTTGAGACCGCTCATTCAACCTATAATATTTGCATAGTGTGACACGCGTGATTCGGTCAATGTAAGCTTGTTCTTTGTATTGCCTTATCCTGTTGCTTTTCTAAAGCCGTACTTAAGGACGTGTGCTTTTATCCTGACCCTCCCCAACGGCTCTAAGTCTCCTATTCCTTCCTAACGCACTACATACACTATGGATTTTAAGCCGTCGTATAAAAATTTGGGATATATCAAATTCCTTCTGCTAGTCACCTTTCACCTGGCTGGTAGTTGAAAAATGTTTGTATAAATGAATATGTTAAATGAATTCTTATTAATCTTGTTATGAGGTCATCGATTGTCAGTCATGTTTCACTAATTTGCAAATTTTGGTACTATCTTGACACATTCTATGCGGATATGGCTTTGTTTGAACTCTCTGACGACTTACCAAGGCATACGCTTTCTGTAAATTTTGTGATTATATGTCTTTGAAGTGTTTTAAAAAATGGTTTAATCAATTTAGCCCTTTAACTGCCTTGCAGGTGACCGACAATAAATTTGAATTTTATTTTTGATTTGTAGTAAAGTTAAAGCCTGAATATTTTAATTGTCTTTTATTTGTCTAAATTAGTTTCTGTGTGTTTGTTGAATATTAAAGCGCCATTTGTGACGTTGTTGTTTTAACGTTCAGTTTTGACCAGGCATCGGCGGCTATTGCAACTTTTGTTGTCCTGGCAACGTGCCTGTAATCGTTTGGTTTCCTTATAAAGTGGACAGTAGTTTATTTTACAATTTTGGACCAGTATGTCTCAGCAGGGCGCTGCTCTTCAAAATTACAACAATGAGCTGGTAAAGTGTATGTAGTTTTCTGTCATGTTTCATTTTGTCCAGGTTTCGAGGACTTGTGTAAACGGAGAGAAGAAATTCACAGACAGATTCATCATGATGAAGTAGAAAAGGCAAAATTGCAACGAGAGTTAAATCAGTTGACAGAAAAGTTGAATCGCGTTGACGATGGATTGCAGAAAAAAATAATGACGCGCAATGAATTAGACCGGACGATTGCTGAATCCGAGGCTGCATACATGAAGGTACAATTGTTATTTGATATTTTTTTGTCTTCTACTAGATTCTTGAAAGTTCCCAGACACTCTTGTGTGTCTTGAAAAAAGAAGGCCAAGGAATAGTCCAAAGGGCCGCCGCTAAAAACGTGCCGATATAGCTAGATGTGATATCTGGCGGGTATACTTTCGCAAAGATTGTACATATGACTTGGCCATGGGCATGTATTTTTTGGTTTACTTGCCCTATAATTCCACACTCTAGTATTTCATTCTTTTGTCCCTATACTATGGCCTTGTTCGTCGGATTGTCCTTTTCTGAAATGAGCAAAATTACCTCCATATTATTCTTTCATTATTCAAAAACTGTCTTCCCTATATGATGACCAAATAGTCATATTTTAGCATAAATTAGTACGTTTAGGCACTTGCTTGGTATTTCATGATATTCCTGCTAAAAGCTTTAGGCATTCCCACCCGGTAAATGTTTGCCTACCGGAAACCCGCTGCAAAATCTCAATCACAGTTCTACTAATAAGTAGCTAACACTTCTAATTACTAGGGGGCTAAAGCACTTGTGGAACTTTAACTAGTAGTCTTGCTACGCTTGCATTAGTTTTAGAATGTTTCTTTACTATCTTAAAGATACGCACAGCAATTCGGATTATTTCATAGTTTCGGTAGGTAAATTTTGCTTACTAAGTTGCATGATCATGCGTCTTAATTTAGTATGATTCCCAATGGCATTTGTTTTTTGGTTCACTGGTCAAGCTTAAAAATCGCAATTTTCTAATAGTCTTCTGTATTGAGTTGCAATATCAGCAGTCTGATCTGCCTTTGATGAAGCCAAAGACATTTCAGTCTCTGTGTTCGTATCCGCCTTTAAACTGGTTGTAACATGGCTCCTATGAAGACCGCACACCGAGTTATTAGTGGTATCGTCATGAAGTGAATAATTTCGGTTTATTTAATTTTCCCGAAAGTTCTAGTACGTGGCTAGCGTGTTCGGGGCTCTTATTGGCTGGCCGAAATGATTGAAAATCGGCGACATTGGCTAGTATTCGTGATGCTCTGACTACATGTGTGCTTATTAGGTATCGGCTATTGTACTAGGACTCCCATCTTTCCGTTGTCGTTTTTTTTCACGACAAAACTGGTGGCGTTCACAGCACGGCCCGACATTCATTATCACCAAGTACGTATTTAACTGAGCGTGCTACTCTCGTCAATTTATTTCAATACTGTAATCAAATCCAGAAATTCGATACTTGCAGAAGTGGAGACCTCGTTTATATGCTCAAGGGAAAAAAACATTAGGCGACAGTATACTTTTTAAGGATCCTGTTGTAATATATTGCATGTTTTCTCTCATATTTGGTAGGCTACTTTCCAATTAAGGACATTAAATTGGCGTAAGTACAAATTTTAGCACTCGTACACATCCCCTATCCTGTCTATTACCTACTTCGGTCTAGTCGGAATGGAGGAGACTATACTTTTTGTCGCCGATTCGCCGTCTTAATTTGTAGCTTTAGTTTAAGATTTAATATAGAATTTCCGGATGCGGTGTGCTTTTGAGCTCAAGAGAAACCACTGACGCCGTAAGGTTAAAAGCCAAGTTTTAAGCTGACTAGACGAGCTAAAAGAAGTCAGATGTGATATGTCCGCAGCAGCCGTAGTGCGGTTTTGGGAACCACACCAAAGCCGACGATCTGCGCCGACACGGTCCTACTGAAGTAAAGGGAGGAACCAGACTGCGCGTAGCTCGACTTGTTTATTATTATATGGGATCGGCCAAACACCGATCCCTGGACGAACACAGTTACGTGATGTGCTTTTACGTAAATCAATTGAATCTCGTTCGTCCACGCTTGCTACTAGCTTTAACTCACGAGTGCTGTATTCACTTGCTGCTCGCCACAAGCTACTTTTGTTAGCTTGGGTGTCTTACTTGCTTTTTTTATTAGGGTAGTTTGGAGCCGCTACTCGAATCAGCGATTAAGTCATGAGGGCTGCTGGGCAATGGCTCCATGGTCCAGTCAACTGTGTAGGGTCATACCATTTAAAAGCTAGCATGCCAAGATGCAAGCAACAAATTGGCCTTGATGCCTTTCGTCGCTTGAATTAAAACTGCACTCTTATTTGGAAGTGCTCGAGAGTGTATAGAAAGTTTAATAAGGAAGAAAATTTAGATGCAGCTGTATAGCTAAGTCGCCGACTTCCTTTTCGTGACTAGAAGCATCAAGCTAGCTTGTTTATTTTAGAATCAGCCATAACAACGGTCATGTTATTCCAGATTAGGCTATTTGGCACGCATCGTTTGGGTAATTGATGAGAATGAATTAAATAATAATGATCCATCACTTGCGGGAAAACTCGAGTTAAATTTTATTCCTAAACTTTCCTTACTCGTAAAGGAATATCTTGTTTATATAATATCTTGGACTTTCCTATATGGCTATAGTGAAATTAAGAATGAAAGCTCCAGAAAATTCTATCGTTTTAGCCGTTAATTTGGTGACTTGCCAGTTGTCCTAGGTCATGGTGCATGCTTTGGTTCCGACGGCTGATGTCTGGTCAGCAGGTAGTCGTGGTAAATTTTGTTCACAAAGAAACACGACTGTTCGTAAACTCGCTCGTTTGCTGAAGTTTTAAATAGCGCCTTCTTTGCCATTTACATTTGGCGTAATACCAGCCTAGATAATTAGTTCGTGAGGTCTCAATAAAAGTGCTGGTCAAGAATTAAATACTTTGTCGTCAACCCAGGAAATATTCTCTTCAATTGATATTTGTCTATTCTCTAAGGCAGCTTAGATGCATAGCGCAGTCGAAATCCTAGCCATAATCGAATCCTGCACACTTTATTCCATCTATTGACGTTAACCATTTTCCACCCTCCACCGTATGTTGGTGGACTCAGTTACTTAAAAGAATGAAGCCACTAAAAATGCAAAACCACCGATAATGCTAAGTTTTTTTAATTGAATTTTATGGATTTCATTTCAATGAAACTTGGCTCTGGCAAGCTATAAAAGAAATTCAAAGTCACAGTCATTTGGCGGTGAAATCCTTCATCGGTCTAATTATGAAAAGCCCAACACCAGGGTCTCATCAAAGTATTCCAAGTCAGTTGTAACAAAAACGACACATTATCGATTGATTCGCGCGCCATTTGGCGCAGATAGGTAATCAGAGGTCTGATTTTATACCCAACTTTTTTACATTTAACAAACACACAAATTAGTTTTAATAAAGTTTTATGGTTTCCATATTTAATAATTTAAAAGTTTCACAAATAACAGTGTAGACATCTCAGTTTTCATTAGGTTGTTATTTTCATTAAATAAGTACTGGAGATTAGTACCTTTCTCAAAACAGCTTCTATTTTAAAATAGCTTTTATTTTTAATAATCCCAGCATTAAAATTAACCGGTTTAGGATGCAGCCAATTATGTTTTTTCAGATGGCATAGCTTAGTGACTGCATACGTCACATCGCTTTATACACGCGCATGTCTTCTGAATAAATTCCTTGCATAAACTTTCTGCTATCACTGTCTCCGCATGCAATTCATTTCTCAGGTTTCCTCAGATGCGCTTGTTCAATTATTTATGTCGCATTTCCTTGGACCTGTTTCTTACTGGTGAAATGTTGCAGTAAATTTTTTTAACCTCCACGAGCCTAGAGGAGGTACATTACGGAGACCCCACGAGACGAAGGATTAGCCCAAGGAAACCTTTGCAGATGACATCGCCGACCTCCTTAATTTTTATACAAGAAATAAAACCACGACTTGACGTGGCGTTGGCACGCATTTGTAAAGACAGTGGCTACTTATTTCGGACTTTTCTTTGACGTTAGTTTCATGTTGACATACATTATTGTTAGTAGATGCTGAGGCTAAACTAAAATTGGGCCCATCTCCGCTATCTAACTAGCACTTTTATATTTTCTGAAGATCAAGTTTGTATTTAAAGAAGATATACATCGAAACGACGTAATTTATGGCGATGTATACTGTACACGTAGCTCCACTTACTAGTACCATGTCCGTTTTTGCAAGTTATTTTAAACCTCAAGTTCTCATATCTGTATTCGTTATTAATTACAGCATAATTACCTTGAGTAAGGTGAGAGGTTTGGCACAGACGACCAGTCCCTTAGGAATGAACCTGACGTTTTTAAGGATAATTTACTATGCAGCTATTTGACAGCGTCTTCCCAGGTTTTAGTTTAATCTATCAGTGGGGTTTCCAAGCTGCCCGGATCTACATTTAGTTCTGTAATGTACAAATGGTGCCAGTTTTCACTACTAACATTTGAACAGATATCTGCACTCACGGAGGCCCAGTTTGAATGGTGTGACCGCGATTACGGGTCCTTCCATCGGGGCAGAATTTTCTGTTGTTTTGATGTGTTGTCAAAATTTAGGACAATGACTATATTAATGTAAATTTTCTACTCTTATATTTGAACCAATTCTCGTAGGACAGTCCCTTTCATTTTACTTTTATCATTCTACTTTGACATTTATGTCTAACCTTTTTCCTTATATGCGTCACAGGGAATAAGTAACTCCACTTGGAATGTTATGCTGTCGAACTTCCCCTATATTTGGATTGTGAATTTTGGCATGCTGCTTCCAAGAGGATCAATTTTTAACATAAATTACCATTTTGTGTTTATTCTTTATGTTTTTCTTGCTACCTCGCTTAGCATTAGTGGGCATCCTGTGTTATTTTTTCATTACTCTTTCAGTTACGTTGAATTCATCCTTATTTGTCACAAGTTCACACAATTATCACTGGAATATAGTGGATGGCCATAATCTGGCAGCTCATTTGTTCCCTTATTTGTTCAAACTGACTTTTGTTAAGTGCTTTCGGACGGTTACAGGGTGCCTGATAACAGGTTGCTTGGCTCACGGCTAGACCAATTTGGGCATAAACTGAACACCACTCCTATATGCCGCTGAACTTTGATATCATCGAAAATCGGTGAGGCAGTGGTTAAAAGGGACCCCTCATCTCATTTCCGCCTTTTCTGACATTTTATTTTTACAGAAACATTAAGACATGTGTGTTTTTAATTTAGTTAAAATTTCTGCTTTGTGTTTTGAAAACAGTAGTAGGTTTCAACTCGGTGTGCACGCCCGTTTTCC